TTATTACTATTATTATTATTATTATTACTACTATTGTTATTATTATTACTACTATTATTAGTATCACTATTATTATTATTAATATTGTCATTGTTATTATTACTATCATTATTATTACTATTATTGTTATTATTATTATTACTATTATTATTATTAGTTGTTTTGCTTCTTAGTTTAGCACTCAGTGGGGGGGGGGGCAGATATTGGGGGGGTATGGAGTTCACCTACCTCCGTTTCCAAGCTGCCAGTCTTGATGGTGGTCACCCAGTTGGCACTGCTAGCCCAGATCGAGTCCTCCAGCACCAGAAGGGTCTTTACTGGCTCTGGACCGACCTCAACCCGCCTGCTGGACGCAGGGTCCCACAGCTCTTCTGGAAAGAGAGAAAACTTGTTACGCTTCCATCACAAAGCCTCCATCAAAGAAATCGCATCACTTCCTGTCAGCTCCCTCATCGAATCTCATAATGCTGCGCCGTATTTCTCCACAACATTGGGTAAATTGACGCCATAAAGGGTTTGACATTAAAACATTCAAATTAGCAAAGCTAACTTATTATTAATTTTTGGAAACCCAGACATTGCATGCTGGCATGGATTGGAATGGCAGGACTTTGAGACGGGACTTTCTGTGAAAGCGAACAAAGAACAGGTTGTAAACTGAAATAACAACAACCAAAATAAGCATCAGAGTTTAGTCTTCCGAGCGGCTCCAGAAAAAAAGTCATAAATCACATTTACAATGTAGACTCAGCAAGACAATCACTCCCCCTCTGTTAGCTGGAAGGCAGAGCGAAACCGTTTCGTTAAGGTTTAATTACCGGACACCCACCACAGTTGGCATTGCCGGAATTATAATTTGAATTATATGTTTTTTTTATTATTAACCTTCATACCATGTTAATGAAGCAAAATTATAGGAGGAAGTGCACTGAGCCATTTAATTAACATTTTGAATTGTTTATTTCTACCTTTGAAACTGAAGTAGCTTTTTTTCTTGCCCCCCCCCCCCCAACTCTACCCCAGGTTAATTGCCTGGAATAATTTAAATGTCACCCGCCCCCCCACCACCTTCCCCTGCAGTCTGGACCCATTCATGCTTTTAGTAAACCTCTGTTCCGGACACTTTGGGTCCAAAAAAATAAATAAATAATGTGACTGGACACAGTTAGCATTAACCGAGCCATTTAACCCACTTTCTGAAACCGCAGAGCTTTCGGACACAAAGATTCCCCCCCCCCCCCCCCCCCCCGCGGCCTTTTTAACTACTGCACCCCCCACCTTCACTTTCCTCGCCGCCGCTGTCATTGCCACTGTTTCTAGGCTTAATCACTCAATCTCCTGGCAATCAAGATATTAGAAAGGGAACGACCCCCCCGGTGCAGCAAAATGAAAGGAATACACTGTGTATCTGCCTCCAGCAGCCCCCCTAACACCCCCAGAATGCGTCTCCTGAGACAGGCTCGCGTTTCCTTACGTCTGTGAACTTAATTTCGGAACGCGCTGAAGCGTTCAGACGTCTCGCAGCTGCCGTAATTACACTGAAAAGGACCGCGACTCGCGCACTGTTCCCGTGACGTTAAGATAAGGTCATATTTATGAGTCGTTTGACTGCTCTCATTTCCAGATATTCAGCTTCAGCAGTGTGGGTTGTGGAAACTACCTTAGACCACCAACTGCCCACCCTATCTAATGCAAGGTCGTCATCCATTTTGCTCCAAAGGAACTCACCAGTTTACCCATTTGTTACTGCTGTACATTCTATTGGAACAGTTGAGACACCCCCTACCATTCAGTGTCTGAATTAAATCAGTCATTTAGGACGGTAATTGGATTCGTTTGGCCATGCTCCTCATTTCACAGATAAATGCCTTTACAAACTTGCTCATCCGCTCGCAAGGTGTCCAGCTAAAAAAACAACTCTTCAGGAATCGGAATTCATCAGGAGGGAACGAGCACTAGGCGGTCAGCACGTGCTACCAGGACATTAACACCAGCAAAGCAGTGTGCAGCACGTGTGGTTGTGATTGATGAATTCAAATTTCACTTTTATGGTTCTCCTTTGGTGTTTTATCCATGTCGACCCCACTGAACTTCGGCATCAAGTAAAAATGGAACATGCAAGGAAAGTTTTATTACTATCGTTCAATTAAGCAGCACTGTTCACGGTCCATAGTCTGTTCCTATTTTTATGTACTTTAATATAAAGCACATTACTCAAGGACTGTCTATTTGAATGAAGGTTCACTAATTGTATTTACACCCATGAAAGTCCTCATGCTAGTTGTGTATACATTATCTACTGTTATACAGTATGCAATGTAAAATCTTCAGGTTTTTGATCAGTAGTGACATCGCTTAATTTGTCTAGTGACCTAAGCTGTCAGTCCCTAATTGCGCTTATTATTATTTTTTTTTTTGGATTAATGTGCTTTAGCATCGGAATGAGGAAGATTGTAATTTCATTTAAATGAACTTTCTCTCCGACACTGCAATTTTTCTTTAATGCAGTCACATGGGAACATATGCGAGTTCCCAGATAATCACCTCAAATCTGGCTGTGCGGCAAAGTGAACGTTAGTTTTTGTTACTGTCTGGAAAATTGTTTCACATGATACAACAGTGCTGTGTTTTTGTTCTGTCTGAGCTACTAATTAGCTGAGCTGAACTGAAACAGATTGTGAATTAGTGATTTAGGCAAATCCTGACAGTGAGATATTACTTTTTTAATGTTTTTTTTGCACCGTGTTTTTTCCTATAGAGAAAATTAACAAAACTAAATGTTCTTAGTAATCGATAAAGTGTTAACCAGCTGAGCAAAAAATGGATTAACACACTAATGGTTGCTTAAACTTAGGTTGTGAAATTAAGTATGTAAAAGCCTGATAAACATTTGCTATATTGAATATGAATTAATACAGATTTGTTTGATGAAAACAAATAAGCCATAATAATAGAAGTAACAATGTAATATGTGTTAATGTTAAGCTAAAATATGCTTTTTTATGGATCTGTCTGTTTCCATCTCTCCCATTTAAAAATGCCACTTGCAGGCAGGACAGGAGCAAATTTGGGCAAATCACGGGGGGGGGTCCTGGAGGGGGTCGCAGGTCCCAGACAAGACACCAGCAGGACACAAATCTGTCGCTCTCACCTCTTATAAATGTGATACCCAAGCCAGTCTGTCAAGTGTAATTACTCAGGAAGCTGGTTGGAACACGAGTGAGCATGACCCCAGGATCGATCAAGTGTGTGTGTGAGGGGGGGGGTGTTCACCTCCATTGTGGCGGCTGTACACCCTCACTGTCCCGTCCCTCAGCCCGGCAAAGAGCAAGTTTCCCAAATGTTTCAGGCACAGTACGGGACACCTCTCAGGGGTCCTGAAGGCCAAGAGGCACTGGGTGGAAGTATCCACACTTCCATATATGACGATCCTGGCAAATTAAAACAAAGGTCACACTGATTTAACAACGTTAGGCAACTCATCCCAACATCCAGCACCAAACCAAAACACCAATGAATCAATGGTACATTTAGCCAAAACTACTCACAGTTTAAACAAAACAGAGAATTTCACTTTTAATTCTGCACATTATACCTTTTTAATACGTGATAAAACATTTGGAAAATGCCCCTTAGCTCTTATTCCCTATGAAAAATCTGCTCTTTAGGAGGTTTAAGATAGAACATTTCCAAATGCTAAGTGGGACTTAAAGCATGAAGTACTTCTTAATGGACAGTGTGAGGCTCATTCTGCTGTCGACTTCACCAGCCTAATTATCAGCGTTACAGAGTGAAAACTCCACATGTAACAGCTCCCCCCCCCCACTTTCGGGGGCTGCGGCGCTGTTTCCAGTAAACAGCGCCTCCTGTCATGTTTCGGGTGTACAAAGGGGGAAATTTGGGAAAGGGGTCAGAGGATCTGGAAGGGGGGGGTCTCTGTAATGTTCATACATAAAAATGACCAAGAACATCTTAAATCAGTCAAATGCTGCAATAAATGTTAGAAATTAAAAGAAACATTAACTTGTAGTGAAACGCTGATTTTGACAGCCTGTCTTCATGTCCAGGAAAGTGTGCATGCGGCTTGAGTGACTGAGCCGGTTTACCGCGAGTTTGAGGGTAAGCGTCTGTTTTTGGGGGTATCTCACCTCCCATCCTGAAGTCCTGCACAAATAGTGTTTCCCACACCCACTGGGCCTGTCCCGAAAGCTTCTTCCTCTTCCCCCTCTGTCTCCTCGGCCAGGCCAGGAACCGGGACGTATTCCAGGCAAAGCACCGGCGCCCCCAGCTGGAATGACCTGACCGGGCGGGGCGTGGTCCTATTCAAGGAGAAGATCTCGATGTGTCCTCCCTGGCCGCTGTCGGTACTGCTGGCGACCTGCGTGACAGCGAGCCAGTGGTCACACCATACAGAACCAAACTTTTCAGCACACAACCCCAACCCCACACACTGGAAGAGAAACCATCATCAAATTTCTAGTGCCACGGAGCACATCGATGCCCTGCAATTCATCTCAGGCCAAGTTTCTCTCTGTCAGCGATTTCACTCTGAGGGAAGAGTGAAGTTAAAATCAAATATACTTCCAAATTGAATCTGTCTGCACCTAACTTTTTAAATATATGTCAAATTCATAAACTGCTCACCGTATTAGATTCACAATGTCATCCCTATAACTTCAAACATTTTTTTTTTTACTCCGTTTCATCAGAATAGGAGAAGTGGGGAAGAAAGGAAATGTGTCTTTCAAGGCTCCTTGTCGTCTGATGGTTGAAAGTTTCTGCCTTTTTTAAATAGATGATTGATCTAAATTTTGAACTATAGTTTGGGAAACAACAAAGTCAATCCGAACCCAACCACATGGAGACCATGGGCTGATTTCAGCACCTGACCGTGTGCCTGGGAAAACACCAGTAGTGGGTTACACCTGCTAAGCTAAGTTCGATCTTAGCCAACGATGGACGAAAATTGCCCTTATGTTCGAGTTTATGCTCTACTAAAAAATAATCGCTTGCACCACGTAAATAGTTTCAACATAGCACTAGTTTATAATGTAAATTTTACACTTCCTTAACATTAGGTCTAATTACAACTTTTGTTTTTTCAGAGATAAAACAAACAACTTTGGCTATGTAAGATCACAAGAAAAATAAGTCATGATCTCAACATAAGTCAGAAAAAGACAATGATGTATGTCCTCTGTGGACTTCCGTCCTATGTAGAGTTGCAGTGAAAAGACAGACAAAGCAGTTGTGTGTTCACATGAATGTGACATTAAATGGTCCTTGCTTTGAGTTTTCCTTCAGTTCTTTAAGTAATACATGTTGTTGTTTGTTTTTTGTGATCCGTCGGCCTCGTACATCATACCTAGCAAGCTACCTAGCCAACACACTTCTTATATCAACATCCAAGGCACATTTATTCACGGGTTTCATTACAGAGAAAACAAATCGGTAGCTATGTATAACCCAAACTCGACAAACATGTCCCGCTTCCGGTAATATTAGACAGTGATAGTGATTGGCTATCCATGGTGAAAAGGTCATTCTGTGTGACAATATTTTTATTTAGTAGCCACTAACTATACTGTAAATTAAGCAGCAATTTCACACCCAACAAAGAATGCGGCACTAGATTCAAATAAGCTAGTTTCAATGTATGATTTAAGGTACACTTTACACCCGACTTTACGATCGAACTTACGATAAGCTGGTGCAACCCGCTGCAGGGCCTTAAGGAGTCCCTAAAAATAGCCAAGCTCCAACAGCCACAACTGCGACCTCAAGCCCCCAATCTCAGCCCTCCGAAGCTCAACCAAATTATACCCCACAGAAGATCTCTCCCCTGCTCGCGTACACCGACCGGTGTCTGGAACTGCTCCTCGAAGCCAACTTTTCTTCTCCACAAGCTGCCTGCTAATTTGAACGGAAAAACACAGAACCGGCCACGTTGAATGTTTGACCTCTGTGCCGGATTCAGCAAACCCATCCCCTCGAATGAGACTGACTGCCCTCACCTTGAAGCGGGCATTCGGCAAGCGCTCTGTGTGCTCGGACCTCGCCGACGTGCTCGAGAGCAACCGGAGAGGCCTGGCTGGCCTGCCAGATCACCTCCATGACTGCTAACGGCAAAAAGCCATGGAAGAAGCAGACCTTGAGGTCATACATTCTATCACACTGAATTGCCCCTTGGGGGAACCGCAGAAAGGATGCTCTGGACAAACAGTATGGAGACTGATGGAGGTCAAAATGGGGCAACGTAAGGGAAGAGGGGGGGACCGGCTTTGCAGGAGGCTCTGTGTGTGTGTGTGAACGCCTGTGTCTGTATCACTGAGGCAGTGTGAGTCTCATTTTAAGAAGATAAATAAATAACCGCTAAAAAACCACTCAGTCCATCCTGCTTATTTTGATGCTTGATAATCAGCGTTGACATTAATGTTCCTGCCATCATGCCCCTTCACTGCGGCACCCGAGGCACCAACGGGGCCGAAATTAGCGGGATGGGGGCCCCTGATCTATGTTATTGTTGGGGCTCCAGCTACAGCATAAAATGCTGCTGAAACAATGGGAAAAAAAATTGTCCCAACACAACATGGAGCCCCGGGTTACTTCCCAGTGTGTGTGAACGTCTGTGTCTGTATCACTGAGGCAGTGTGAGTCTCATTTTAAGAAGATAAATAAATAACCGCTAAAAAACCACTCAGTCC